GCTTTTGTGTTCTGTGTAGTTTTAATTGTTATTCTGAGAGAATTTCAAGAAAATTGTATTTTTGATAGTGTACTTTAGATATCTATTGCTATTTTTATTGATTACCAATACTGGGCTTTAGTGTGCTTAACAGTATTTCCTGTCTTTTATATTTTTATTGATAACTGAGTTGGTATTCTACCTCAGTTGTAACAAGAATAAGTGTTCTGTAAACAAATCTTTCAACCTACTATTGATGGTAAAAAAAATCAGATACGAGAGAGAAAAGGTGATAGATGAAAGTTCCAGGTGTACAGTTCCAGTTTTGGCAGCTTTTATTTTTTGCTGTCTTGCACTTGATCTAATTTGTTATTTAAATGAAAGTACTCTAAAAAAATGCAGTTTGACTATTTTTTGAAGTGTACACTTTGAAGTAACTTTTGGGTTCAGTAGGATTTTGTTTGCTGAAGTTTGTCAGTTAAAATCTAATGGGGTTTTCTCTTGTCTCTTTTTTGGCAAATTTTACAACTGCAGGTCAGTTTCAGTCTTTCCACTTCAGATTTCCAGAGTTGGACAAAATTCCAGGATTGGACAAAATGTTTGGGGAAGTGAGCCAAAAATGAGTGTTTAGCAAGTGAAACTGTTTGACATCTTCTAATTCTTTAATTTACTTTTTACCGATATGAAAATATTTAATATTCTCTACTTCATAACTGGAATAAAATCAAGAGTGATTTTAATTTCCACTGCTTTCTGTCACTCATCCGGCAGGAGGGAAGTAGCCTTTGGTTCTGTTAACCTAACCACATTTGAATGTCATTGCACCCTTCATATCTAGACCGAATGGTTAAGATTCATGCTGGGTAACTTGCATTTCATAGAGAGTGATGAGGGTGTGGGGTGTTTTGTTTGGTGGTTTTTTTTTTTTTTTATAAATTGTATTTTTGGAATACTGTGTGGTCATTTTGTATTTAAAAAGATGTTAATCATGCATAGTGTGTATTGTTGGGGATAGTGGATTTCCTTAACTTTTGTTAAAGAGCAAAACAGGTTTAATGTCTCCGATTCTATGGGATTTTGGTTGGTTGCTTTGCTTTTCTTTTCTTTAAGTTTAAAACTGATTTTAAAGAAATTTATCACCTCTAAACCCCTGGATCAACTCAGATAGAAATAGGGAAGTTGCCATTTTAGAACATTTTTTTTCCTTCTTTTTTTCTGTCTGCTGCCAGTAGAAAAATACTCTGAAGGAATATCACTAGGGAATAATTATATCTACAGAAGACATTTCGTTTTAATTACTATCAGGTAGTGATTGGTTTATGACACTGTCATGAAGACTTGCAACATGCTCTTTAAATACCTTATACAATATTCTGTATAATCGTTCCCATTGCATGTAGGTGTGTGTAATTATCTCTGAATCTTCTCTAAACTTTGTTCTAGAGTCTTGTGTTGATGAATTCCACAGGTTTATGTGATTTATGTGGTGTCTCATGTTTAATGTTATTCCTCAATTTATTGACTATTCTCCTGGGGTTTTCTTTGTTAAAGCATAAATTGGATGATCTACTTTTTGTATGTATCATGCATTGAATTGTATTTCTGTCATATCGTGTTACATTAATTTCCCTTTGATGTAAAGAAAATGGACAAACCAAACCTGTCCATTTTGACTTGTGTCAGGTGATGACTTTCAAAGTCTTTAATCACTGGTTGCTTGTGTTTGGAATCTCTTTGCTTCTGCAGTATCTTTTTGTGAATTCTTTTCTCAAACTGAACATGTGTCATGTTCATAAACACCGTGACATTTTTCTTGCATATCACTTTTGATATATCAAGTACTACAGAAAATCATAAAATGAACACAGGTATTATCAGTGGCTTTTATGGATTATTTTTTCTTCTTATTTCTTCCCACTAAACTGTCTTCGTAGTCAATTCCTTTTTTTTTTTTTTTCCCCCTAGATGAGTTACGGTAGGACTTTCCACTTTCTGCAGAAAGACTGATTCAAATTCAGTGTAACTGCTGTATATTTATCCATGTTGAATTTCATGTGTCACTGTTCTGTTAATTCCTTTTTCTGCAGTTTTCAGTAACTAATGTTGCAGCATCTTCAGATGTTGACATTTACTAACAAATAGATTCAGGGGACCTCTATATGTTACTTTATTCTTCGAACTTTGTGGAAGGCTATTGCTTATTTCTTTCCTTTGGGCAATTTCTCATCAGTGAAAGTGTGTGCTCCTGGATAACATATTTCTCCAAAAGGCCTTGTCAAAAACCTTCTTTTAAGAAGTTTTTGTTAAATATACAAGTAAGTGGTTTAATTTATATTTTGGAAAATTTCTAATAGATTAGAAAGATTAAACTTCCCTGTATTGACAATTTACTAACTCACCTTTATTTTTATCATCCTTGGAGTTTTATGTACATCAATTTACTTGTAGCCTGGGGAAAAGAGCTTACAGAATTATGATTCCTAGAATGTCTTCCTACTGTCTTATAAGAAGAGGTACAGTGTTTGCCTACTTTGTAACCATCTTATGGGGTAGTTTATCTTAATGAAAGATTGAATATGTTAGCAGCTTGGACCTGTTCCTTGCATTAAGTTCAAGAATTTGAAATGGGTTCATGCAGGTCTTTGGGCTGTTTCCATATTCAGGAGATCCGCTTGTGAAATTACTTTCTGGTAGTACCTTTTTGGATGTCTTTAATTACTCCCTCAGTTCTTTCAATTCCCTGTGGTTTGTGAAGTCTCCTGCAGTTTTTTGTATCTAAGGGGATTTTTAAAATCCTTGATACTCTTGTTCCCTGTCTTTGAGTGTGTGCTCTGTCAGTGCCATTTCTTCATCAGTGCAGTATTTGTCTTATTGTTAAACAGTATGTTTTTTGAAAACATACAGAATAAGATTCAGAGTTAGAATATATAGTTTTTTCTGAAATAACCTTTGCGGGATGTTTTGTCCATCTTCCCCATGCACAAAGGCGTGCCAGTGCGGTTAACACCTGCAGTACAGCTAAAAGCTGGGTATGATCTAATATTTTGTAGTATTTAATAGAATTTTTCATTATTAATGTGTTGAGTGAATGTTGAATTTACTGGTGATTTATGCTTGGCAGCCAAGAAGTTAGTTTTAATTTTGAAAATATTTTAGCTTGTGTGGGTTTTGGCTTTTCTTTCTGTTTGCTGACATGGGGCTGTTAGGCTCCGAGCTTCTAGCTGCTCATATGGAGATACCAATTGTCTTGGTTTTACTGGTACTCCAAAACATACTTCCTAAATAGAAATTAAAAATAGTATCTGTTTACTTTTTTGTTTGTTTTTCTGTTTGTCACTTTTAGATAATTTCTGTTGGATGCAAAAGTAGGAGGGTAGTGAGCTTTTGAAGGTGAAGGGAAGGAAGACTTCACTGAAGCGGTTGCACGTTGGTTGCTCGCTAGTGGAGGAAGATCAAGCAAAATGAAGCAACGTTTCACTTGTTCAGAGAGCAGAACTGCATTTCACTCTACCTTTTCTACCTTCTGCCACTTCTGCTGTAGGATGAGGAAAAAACATTCCTGTAAAAGGTCATTCTCCTCGTTGTGGAGGAATGAAAGGAATTTAATAAGAGAAGCCATCTACTTGCTTGCCTTTTCCTTAATCTCCTCCTTGCCTCCTGCTGCAAAAAAAAAAACCTCCACTGTTTTCTTGAAGAATTATTGTAAAAAATATTTCAGGAAAAATAATACGTGCCTGAGGTATTTGAAGAAATGTTGAGAAAATAAATTAGTACTACTCCCTCCCCCGACAAGTGAATATGTGCTTCTGTATTACCCTGATGTTGCCATCTCCAAGGCCAAAAAGGAGTCTTGCCCTTATACTCATTTGGAAAGAGTTACTCTTTTCTTCTGTATGAAGTCTTGTCTTCATGAACCTCCTGATGAGTAGGTATAAGGGGGACTGGGCTAGACAGAAGCTTGAGGTTCACCCCCTCGGTTCTTTCTATGAAGTGAAATGTTGAAAAATACACACATGGCTGTGTCACAGGAACGGTTTTGCAGGGATGGTTATAGCCTTCTAGAGAGGGTTCTCGGAAGCCAGAGAGCCAGGTGTTTGCTCTCATGGAGGTGATTTTTATTCCCCTGAAAGCATTTGGCTAAGGTTTGTGAGGAGGATCTGTACAGCCTTGTAGGTGTTTTTAATAGGAAAGTAAAGCTGGCCGCTAGCAGTTTCTGCACCTCTGTACACTGCCGTGAGAAGAACCTAATAGTAAATTCCCCCTCGTAGTTATTGTTTTTCTTGCTCTCCCTCTTTGAACTCTCAAGGTTATTCAGTTATTTTCCTCACAATTTCATTAGGAAATTTGCCAAAAACATCCTTTCTAGGCAGCTGTCTCTGGACCTTCGGAGGCCAGCACTAATGTGCTTCTAGTCTGTAGGGGGTGTTTGGCACAAAATTATGAACTAGGCCCTTCAGCGCTTCAGGGGAGAGAGGGGAAGAGATTGCAAACATTTTACCACACCCAGGTGCAAATTTTTCCTACTCTATGAGCATTCAGAGGCTTTCATCTCTTGTTGTACCTGTTTTGTCGTGGTGCAAGGTCTGTTAACAGCAACAAATTGTTGATGTGAGAGAATTATAATGGAAGAGTTGTTTTTCTGTTCACCAAATGTTGCTTTGAAGGAAAGCTTTTGTATGTATGGGAGGGAACGACTCCAGCAGCCTTGAACTGTTCAGATATAACTTTTTAATGAGGCATTGATTTGTTTGGTTTTTTTTTATTTTATTCTAAAGCGGTGCTCAAAGGTGCTGTGGTGTTGTCTGCATGTAATACTTCATGTAAAATTGATTGAAAAACTAAACGTTTTGCTGAAATTAATATTGGGAGGAGCTAAACACTTCAGAAAGAGCAAGAAACACATTTTGGCGCTTTCTGTGATACCCTGCTGCACAATATAGATGACTGCTGAAGCGTATGTACGTATGATGTATTTGTCAGCCTAACTGCTTCTCGTGTTTAACTGAAGTGTCTCCTTGCAGCCACCCACACAGAATATGCCTATGGGTCCGGGAGGGATGAGTCAGAGCGGCCCTCCCCCACCTCCGCGCTCCCACACCATGTCTTCAGATGGAATGGTAGGTGGGGGCCCTCCTGCACCACACATGCAGAACCAGATGAACGGCCAGATGCCTGGTAAGTTTTTCTCCTCTAAGACATTAACACCAGCGTTGCCTGGCAACTGAAACGACATGGGGGCTCAAGGGATACTAGATTGTTGATGACAAAACTGCTTTGAATGCCCCCGAGTACGAGCTCTCTTAGAGTTTGTTAGCTACAGAGCTACGTGACCTGTATTCAGTGTTTATCAGGCTGCCCTTGGGCTTTGATGTAGCTGACACACAGCATTCCTCTGATGAACAGAACTGGCTAAATTTAGTCTGTTTGAAACTGTGCAGTACAGCTGGCTTTAGAAGGCTTATTGGGGAAAGGTATTGGCCTGTGGCTGAGTGAACACAAACCCTTCCATAAAAAGATAATGTGAAATCATTGTAGCTAAATAATTAGATAATAGTAAAATAGATGTATCTTAAAGAGGATGTTTCGAATGTGGGTACGTGCTAAAAAATAAATAAATTGCTTTTATGCAGAAAGTCATCCGGGCTTCCACTAATCCTCTCTGTTCTTTATTACTGAAGATGTGCTGAATTGTAAGGGATGTGTAAAGAAATGGCCTCCAGATTATTGTCCTAGGTGTAAATTCTAAGTCAGTTTTTATGCCATCCTGTTTTGTAATAAAAAGAAAAGTGCTTGAGAAGTCAGAAACAGCGGTGAAACAAGATAAAATTCCACATTTTACCTACCAATACTAGCTTTGGGGTAACTATTCCCTTTAGCAGTCAGATCAGTATGGAGTAGGCCCTGGAAGAGCATGCTTCTTTTATATAGAGGCTATTTTGCAGAATTTCCACTCATAAAGTCATACTGCCTATTTCGTGTGAATTGCCTTTCAGCTTAAAATTGCGTTCCTAGGATTGCTTTTGTTCAGGACCCCTTCATTTTTTTGTATGGAGGAAATTCTCATACAAAAGCTTTTAAAGGTATTAATTCTTCTAAGAAAGGAAATTACTGTCAAAGAATTTTTGAGAATTCAGCTCTCAGTGGTCACAAGGATAAGCTCCACAACAGCAAAACCAGTAAATAACTATGCAAAACTTCATATGAAGTAAAAAATGTAATGATTGCTGTTGTCTCTAATTTCTGTGCAAGTCTTGATAAAATGGCCTGGTAGTGACAGCTTTTCTGAGAAGAGTAGCTGAATAGCCTCTGGAGGCTGTGTGTAAGCAGTATAATAAAAGATCTAGAGAAGAAGTTTGTTTCATCCTACATGTTGGTCATGGTCTGCATTTAGAAGTGGAAATAGCAATATGTGCTGCTCCCTAAGTAGGACAGAGATAGTGTAGTTGTGGAGACCCCTATCCATCTAAGATCCATCAGCTCCCGTGGAGAATAGCATTGCCTCTCACAAATCAGTCTCTCTGTCCCTCCAATGTAATCATATTATTCTTATTATAATGATCTTTTCCAAGGAGAAGGATTACTAAGTCACAATGTGAGCATAATGACTTCACTGCAGAGCCACAGGGGAGAAAAGTCACTCCTTAAACATACATATTTTGTAATTAGATAGAATAAGAAAAGAGCTCTTACGAAAATATGTGAAAGGTAAATAGGTTTGTTTTGGTATTCACCTAGACAGATACTTAAATACAATTTCCAACTAAGCTTAAATATTTAACCTTTCTTCCAATGTATTCCCTTCTTTAAGTGTCTGTTCCTTCCCTTCTCATTTTAAGGTTGTCTCTGAGGATGTGAGGATAAACAGCTTAGGATAAGGGCATCTCTAATGTTGGAAAGGCATGGTAAAGTAGTTGCATAGTTAGGAAACAGGGAAACAGAATCATCTTGTTAAGTGGGTAGCTGAATGTTTGTTTGGGGTTTTTTAGGTGCTGGTTTGTCTGTATGTGAGCCTTTCTGTATTTCATAGATGTGCGTTTGTAATAATTCCTGCAGTGTATGTATTTGCTTTCTGTTTAGGGCGCACTTGTTCTAAAGTTATGTAGACACTTCTATTAAGAAGCCAGATAGAAAACCTTAATATCTGAAGAGAGGATCTGTCCAAAAGAAATCAAGCCTCTGTTGTGCAAACCAAGAGGTCAGCAACCACAAGTTGACTGGTCTGGAAGAAATAAAATACAGACTCTTGAAAATATGAGCTGAGGCTTTCCAGAAGGGCTTATTTGAGCAGAGGCCTCTACATGCCTGACTATGTGTGGAAAGGTTGATGGAAGGATTAAAAGAACTGTCTAGTGATGGTCAGGGCATGAGTTGAAGTTCTGCCATAGATCAGTCCAGTCCTGTTACCTAAAGGGCAAAGGATGATTTTTCTCATATTTGACTTCTGGTTAATGAAGGACCTTGGAGTGCTGCTGAGACCCTTAATTGCATCCTCTGACAAATGAATGTCTGTGTGCTCTTACCAGGGAAGACAGTCATGACGAACCTTTTTCAGCATATGATGGAACTGAGCATTATCTGAACCTGTGACAGATGATGGCTTTTACCTCAAAATATTACTCTCTGAAGAGTTACATTGACTGAGAGTTTGTGTGATGCAAAGTAAGGGTGATGTGGGTTTGGAAGGAGATGGTGAACTGGGTTGTGCTGGTGGCAGGTTATCTTCCTCATTTCTTCAGCTTGTTTTGTCATATATAGAAAGTTGAAAGGTAAGTCTCGCTGTAGGGTTCTCCGACCTTTGTGCTGGCCCTTGAATAGCAGCTGCTTGTGTGTTACCAACAGGTTCTCTCAAAGTCTCCTTTCCTTCCTGCAAATGTAATCTCAAATGCACTTAGGCTGGCTTACAGTTTCTCAGAACTCAAGTACTGTCTGTAAGGGGTTAAGAGGAAAAAAAAAGACTCCTGTGTATAGTCAAGACAGATACTTACTCCACTAACTTTATGACACAGAATCTAATTAGTATAGCATTTAAAGCAGTTATTTTTATAGTAGGTAAGCACTTCATGTCTCATTTGTACTCTGTTCATCCTATTTCGTTTATTCATATGAAAAGTCAATTGGTGTATCCTTATGGACAGGAGAACCCCATTAAGTGTTCTGGCAAACTGTAAGAAAGTTTATTTATAAGGTGTGTTCTTGCTGTTTGAGAGGGTTTTGATAACTACGATCTTGGCTTATTCTCTGTTCTTTTCTTCTGGCTTCTCATTAACAAACTACCCAGATCATCCGCGTATCTGTCGTTTCATATGCCAGCTTTTTCTTGTGAGTGCTTTCTCCTGTTTTGGTGCTACCTGAGATGTGAACTGTAATGCAGCCTTTTAGAGAAGATGTTTTATTTTTTGGACTTCTCTGGTGGTGATTTTTGCCTTCCCCATTTTGCTTGTTAATTGACCAGATTGAAAAAACTTATTGCACTTTGTGCTTGGCTAGCTCTTGGAAATCTATTATTGATAATTTCTTCTGTTAAATGAAAAGGAACAAAACCACTCCTAGGCTCTGACTTTCTGGCACTAACTCCATGTATTCCTTCCTTTCCTTAGCAAATAAATTAAGAAGAAAGTTGTCTGCCAGTCCTGCAGTAGTTGCATGGCACTACTGTCTGGATTTTTTTCTTCACCATAGCCTTACTTTAACATACTCATGGTTGATCCCATGGTTAGAGATGATCTCACTTTTTCAGAATTAAACTGTATCCATGTTCTCACTATTGCAGAGTTAGGCAAGAGGGGACAGTATAGGCCTTTGCAGTTCTCTATTATGGTCATAATCCTATTCACCTAGTTATTTTTTCAGTGTTTTGTAGATCCACCTTTGTATAATTCAGCAATTTCTTCTCACCTTCATTTGCAGGAACAGTGACCTGCACAAATGATACCTTTTTCAGTTTTTTTCACTGTATTTGATAAAATAAACTTATGTGTTTGTTTCAGTAAGTTGACTTAAAAGGGCAAGAGGATAAACATATTTCTGAAATTATTCTCTCTTTCGTCATGTTGTCTTCTAGTAGCAACATTCCTTGATAATTATCTTTTTCTTCATCATTTTGTTTGCAGGTTGGTTGGTATTGCCTCTGTGACCTTGTGTGCAACTCTCAATGTCTTTATTTTTCCCTTCATTCTGTCCTAGATGGTGGCAGTTCCTTCTTTTGCCAAGACAGGACTTGAGCTGGTTACATCTGAAGGCAGATACATGTTTTTGTAACTTTTTTTTTCATGAGCAGATACGTAACCAAATCACTGTCTTCCTACAATTCTACTGGCTTAGTTTCTTTTAGATTCATCTTCTAAGATTTCTGTATTTTGGGGGGCTTTGTAACTTAACAAAAAACCTGTGGCATGTTTAGTAGCAATGGCATCTTTTTGGTGAACTCTCTCTTTATGAATGTTTGCCTTGTTTACAACTGACCCACTCTGTCATATGCACTGTTTGTTCATATCTTCATAAGCTCTTCATGTGGTGCTTGTAATGAATAATCCTTTCATTTCATTTATCTTTTTCGCTTTTCATATTTACATCCAGTCACACCTCTTACTAATTTTACCCCTAGTAGCTTCTCACTTAGCCCAGCTAAAGCAATGAGTAAACTGATCAGGTGGTATTGCAATCTTCATACTCTTTAAAAACCCGTTGTGAGCAGATTTAACTTGAAGAACTATCTAATTTCAGCCTGTGTTGTCAGGAAGAGGGGAACTAAAGGGTGAAGGCCATATACCCCGTGCCTCATGGGTGTATGAGCAGGTTGCTCTGGATTTGTAGCTCTGCAAGCAGGAAAGACGAGCTGGTAATTTGGTGGCTGACCTTCCAGTCATCATCTCTCGCCATGCAGTAATCTGTAAATACAGCTGCAGAATATTGGCTGTACATTATAGGTTCAATCAAGGTTAAATAGGCCTTCAGCCATTTTTATTCTACATATATTCGCACCATGTTAGTGTTAATGCTGCCTGACTCTTAAAACATACTGTTACTTTGTGGAGTGTGATTTGTTTGAATGAAGAGAAATGTTACAGCTCTCATAACAATTATGTAGCCCTCATGGTTTAACAGCCAGCTTGGTAGCTCTGATTTTGTGCATTTCAGGCTGATATTCAGAATTAATTGTGTGAGTACTAACAAGACTAGTTTTACATAGGATATGGATATGAGAGGAGTGATATGGTAATTTACATCTTTGCTTTAGTAGCCTCAGCTGCTCAACAAAAGAAAACGCATAGTAGAGCTGAACTTTGACTTGCTATTTTTTGAGAAGTCGTGAACAAACTTTGGTTTAGTTTTGTTTTAATGTCATTATTTAATGGCTTCTATTTAGTTTTATAAATCGGTATGACTGTATTTGCTTGTTTTATGATATTTAATGTAGAACCTTTTTTGCATCATTTTTCTTTGTGAAGGACCTAACCACATGCCTATGCAAGGACCTGGACCCAACCAACTCAATATGACGAACAATTCCATGAACATGCCTTCAAGTAGCCATGGGTCAATGGGCGGCTATAACCACTCGGTGCCATCCTCACAGAGTATGCCGGTGCAGAATCAGATGACCATGAGCCAGGGTCAGCCGATGGGCAACTACGGTCCCAGACCAAACATGAACATACAACCAAACCAAGGTGAGGTGCTTGTTAGCTTCAGTAAAAAGAAAGCATTTGTACCTGTCTTTGAAGGACTCTACATCTCCCTTCTCCCACAGGAGAAGGGTTCTTTGCAGACACTGAACTGTTTTCAGGTGTTGTATGAGAATCTGGGGATGGATCTGCTTTCATCAGTTACAAGTTTAGACTACTGCTTATCTTTCTCAGACTTTACACTTTTGTCTAAGTGTTTTTATTGCAGGAGTCGATAAAATACATCTTTTCAGTCTCTTGAGTAAATCGAAAAATTTGTCAGATTTTTATACTTAATTAATCTTTATTCTCTGCTGCATGGTGTTTTAGCGTGGAATATCTGTTAATCTTAAAGAAGTAAAAATTCAGTGCCAGGAACAAGTCTTCTGCTACCACTGTTTTCAGGAGATGGCCTTATGTATATATCAAAATTAAAACCTAATTTTGTATCTAGGATATTTGCAGAGTGTGAACAGATGATGTGTCCTGTTGATGTCCCTGTTGAAGTGCAAGGACACTGCAGAATTAAGATATTGCATTAGAGTCACAACAGACCAAATTACTAAATTGTACATATACTGCATATTCTTATGAATGTGCTTCATGAGTCAGCAAGTGGTATTTTCAGCTTACTTGTTAAGTCTGATAGTACATTTTATCTAGACATACCATTTAAAAGAAAATGCTTCTGCCATGTTATAACAAGTAGGTATGGGGTTTTTTTCCCCCCCAATATGTATGAACTCTTATGGGTATATTAGCTGAAGTTTATGTCTGGAGTTAAGGTTTTTGTCTCTTTTCTGATGCTTTAGGAGAATGTAGTTTTCTCTTTTTCTAAGGCTCCCTTCCCCGGTCAGTGCAGAAGAAACAATCCTACAGTGTCATGGGTTCTTCTTATTGCAGTATACTTTTGTTGCAGACCAAAGCTCCACTTTCTTAGGCAGATACCATTTGTTCCCGAGGTGTACAAACAGAGCAGGTCATACTGATCAGTTTGTTTATTAGATCACAGAGAAGTTCATAACAGAAAAAAACAGTTAATGATACCAAAAATGAGACATGACAGAACAGCTGGTTAAGTGCTTGTCTTAACCAGTAGTGAAAAAGGGAGGTTCAAGTCCTTCGTTATCCATGTTGTTAATGGCATTTTTCTTAAATTTTAACACCAGAGGAAACAAAAAGATAGGCACGTGACAGAGAAAACGAGATAGGCACATAATAGAGGAAACTATCACAAGTGGGAATATTTTTGACTGCCTCTATGAACTGACAAGTTATCTGTATGTTCTGGGCAATACACTATGGACTAATTTTGTTAATGTTGTAAGATGTTTTTGAAGAGTCCTGTGCATGCTCAGTTGAAATTTCTTAGTTGCAGGGAATTAGCAACAAATACGTAGCAGCGTGTGTTGGGGAGTCATCCACTAAGTTCCTCTACAGAAAACAACTTTTTATGTCTGACTTACAGTTTAGGACTAGTGTTTATTCCATCTCAAAGTAGTGTTCTTTACTCTTCCTCATAATATTCCCCTGGTGTATTTTCAGTACTCTGTCAAACTTTAAAATTGCTCATTAGAAATTAGGCAGAAAGATACTTAAAAGGTTTTTGTTTTGAACAAATAATAGTACTGAAATGACTTTGGGGAATACAAAAATAAAGTGGTATCTAACCAAATTATAGATTCAAGAACAAGAGTGAATTCTCTAGCTACAAGAGCTGGTACCATTGCCTGCACTTAGGTTCACAGTAAGCTTTCATGTTGGGTAACTCTAAATTTGCTGAATTTTTATTCTTTAGGCTGAGACTGTCTTCCTTCCAGGTGTCTGCTTCAAGGCTGATTTTTTTGTGAAAGTTTCACAGATGTGGAGAGCCATTTCTGAGAGTGGGGTGAAAAAACTATATTATATAAAATATTTCAATGCCTCACAAAACCATCAGTAAATAGAGCACTTCATATGTAAATGTAGGTGTGCTGGTGCCTCTCATTTTAGAGCAAGGCTTCAAAATTTGTCTGTTATGCCAATAAGGTGCTATTTGCTGTTTCAGTGAAAATGTCCCAAATTAATCAAATTTTAAATATCTATGGAGGAAGAACTCTTGAAGTCTGAAGATGCGTGTGTTTGTTCTGTATTGGTAGCTAAGGTTTTTAACCCAAGAATATTCTCAGTCGGGTCTGTTTAATGCATTCCTTTCATTTTCTGCTCTTAGTTGTTGCATTTGAATTGAGGTTTGGTGCTAAATTAGAGGAAATATTTTTGTCTTTAATCTCTTGTGATTGCAAGTCAGCAGGAGAGAGAATGGCACAGAAATCTGTGAGGCTGCGAGAGATCTAGCTAGGTAGCCAAGATCCAGTCAGGCTGGGCAGAGGTCTCAGCCAAGTGTGGACGCTGGCAGACTTCTCATCTAAAGAGTAAAGGAACAAAACTGTTCCCCAAAAAATGTTTGACAAAGCAAAAGGGGAATAAATAGTTTATTTGAAGATTTCTTAACTAGTAGCATGTGCTGCCTTTCAGAGACAGAAATGAACCAAAATTTCTGAGCCTTGGTATTGCCAGGAGACATTTGTGAACGCGTAAGCGTGCTTGCTTTCTTTGTCATATAAAGGAGTGGTCCGTGAGAATGAGAGAGAAAACTCTATCTCAGTTAGTAACAGCACCTGGCTACCTATAATGCTAAATATTCTGCAAGATAAGGTCCTAGCGTCTCAAGTTGGCTGTTAAAAATTAGTAGATGGTTTTGACCTTAATCTTTCCCTGCATGAATTCCCCATCTGTGGAAAAATGAATCTGATGGTAAGATTACGATACCATCTGATTTCAAGGGAGTGTTGTGAAAGTGTATTCATTATGAAGATTTGAACTTTTTAGTTATGAGTACCATAAGAAAACCCATGAGTGAATTAATAATTCTGTCTTCAGTGTTTGACTAGGCATAGCATCTCACATGAACAATTAGGAGGAAACAAAATATTGAAATAGCTTTTCAGTTAATAATACTTTGCACTGAATGAAGCTAGTACCTTCTAGAAAATAATAAATCCTGTTATATAATAGATAAAGACACCATAGCGTGGAAAGCTTTGTTTTATTTTTTTGATGGTTTTAGCATACCTTTTCATGTGCATTTCCTAGCAAAACATCTTGCTATATATACACATTTTGAGGCAGATGGTGTTAGTAAGAAAAATAAAAAAGTGCTAATTAAGAAATAAAGTGCATGGTAACAGAACCTATTGTTGGATTTACTTTCTATCTCCACTTTGTACTCAGTGATTTGCACTAGTTTATAAAATGCCAGCCAGAGGAATATCTTAAATGAGAAGCAAAATCATCCTGGTGTCGTTTTTATATAGTCAGTCCAGTTAAAAGAATAATTTTAGTCATTTTGGACTTGAGAAACAGAATGTTTTAAGTGAAAGTCTCTGTAGATGGATCTTGGTTAAAAAGCTGTTGTTGCAGCCTGGGACATCCACAAGGAATAGTGCCTGCCTTTCTGGAAAACTTAAGAAGCAGGAGGAGCAGAGTGAATGTGGGTGATGCTTTTTTCTTATGGGTGCATTTTTTCTCTTATATGGGAAACTGCTTATGTTGAATGAAATGTTTCAAGTGTTGCCAGTTCCTGACTTTTCAGAGGTGAGAGAGCATGGTTGTCTGGACCCTGAAACTGACACAGAAATTACTCTTCTGTTGAAATCTTTCACATTCAGAGAATAATAATGCATGGTAGAAAGCAAATACTTTAAACATAAGCACCAAGGAATTACAGCATGGCCACCTCAGAAGCTTTCTCAGATGCTTTTGCTTGGATTCCGTTCCCTTGCCAGAAGCACTTCACGCAAAGTTGCCAAACTCCCCAGTCGGTATTTAATGAACATCATATGATGCTTGACATGAGGGAGGGGAGCTAGTTTACTTTTCACAGGTGAACTCTGCATGAGAATATCATGTTGACTTGATAATTTGCAGAAGACTAGTTATTGAATCTGATGCTGAGATTTTTTTTTTAATGACACTTTCATTTTATATAAATTTACAAAAATAACATTACAGTTTCAGAGCTGTTTCAATTACAAGCAAATATGAAGAGATAATGGAGATAAGAGATGAGGCAGATGCAGAATTTCCTGTTCTTTTGTTGTCCATGTAAAGGAACATAAAGATAGGACCATCAAGATAGCAACATCCAATGTTATCTGAATTACAGACATATTCAAGGTATGACAGATCAGGAAAAATATATTTCTGAGATTGAGGACCTTTTGAGAATGTCTTGCCATCTGTTCATTCCCATGTAAGTAGAGGCTGTTATATTTAATACTTCAACTACTTAGAGTATCCATGATGTCATGGACAAAGCAAGGCAGTCTCCATATTTATATTTTTTTGACATCTAACCTGTTAAAGAAAAATAGAATTGCCTCAAAATTCTGTGTCTAGTTCTCCTATTCTAATTCTCCTGTCTTGTAAGTAAGTGCCACAGTGCTGCTTCTTTCATCTTTTTCCTACTGTAGGAAACTTTTTTGTATGTATTGTGTATGACATTGGAACTTTTTTGTATGACTTGCATGTTTTTTTCCTTAAACACCTGAAATTCTGGTTCAGTTTTAGATGAGAACATGGAATAAGTGAGTATGGAGAAGTTTCTGCTACCTTTAATTTGCAACCTACCTCGTGCATTACGAGTATCTTCAAAGTCTTTCAAGATAGTGTTTAAACTGCCCCTCATGTTAAAACACCTTCTAAGATTTTAGTTCGTTTGACCAAGTACATCTGGAGTGTACCTTCTGTCAAGAATCTCAAGAAAACTGAACATTAAATTTACCCTAAAGTAGAATTCCTAAGCTAGCTATTGCAGAGTTATCACCATCACTTATGTTTAAAAATGAGCGTTTTTCTGTAAACATGAAAAACAACCAAAAAAAGTATTGCTGACGGCTACTGCATTACTGGGTATTTTGTTATTTATATTAATATTTTATTAGTTATGTAGCAGTGAACACAATGGGGAGATTGACCATGACATGAATGTACTTTGCTGATACTCTAGATGGGGATATGTAATTGTTTTATTAATATGATGCACATTGTGAAATGCCTAAAGAATATGCACCTCTTTTTTTGCTTTGCAACAGAACTGAAGAAACATTAGCTTGTACTGTTGCTTTTTGGTTTTACCCAGCTGCTCCCATAGCTTTTTAATCATAACAGCAGAGCCACCTATTCATTTGTGGGTATGGTTCCTCACATCTCTGCTTCTTTAGGAGTTTCAACCATGTTACAGGTTATTCTTGCCCTCTAACGGCACTTACCACCAGTATCTGAGTTTCAGCAGAAGAGGCAATGTTAAGGAGACCTTTTTAAACAGCTAAGTGCTTCTGTAGCTCTTTCATCCTCAGTGTGCATCTGGTCTCACATTTGTTAGGTTTGGGATCTACTTCTAGTTTGTGTTTCTGTTGCTCTCTGTTCATCTTATATGTCTGAAGACTGAGTTTTCAGTTTCCTCAAGTCATTTCCTGTCCGTAGACTGCCACTGGGCCATGACACTCAAAAGAAGATCAAGTACCAGCCCCTTTTTACTTAAATCCCCGTACCTTTTCTTCCCTATATGTGAGTCTTCTTTGAGATGCTGGCTGGAGCAGGAAGGTTTTTTGTCGTTTAGTAGTTATAGAAAGCCTGGAAATGAGCAATTGAGGAAAACATGTATTCTTGATAGTGTAGACGATTTTTAATTAAAATAGAACAACAAACAGATCACTTTTCACCTGTTGTCTGGCTTACTTTATACTTTCACTTACTCCATAAGGCGGATTTGCATCTACGCTGTGCATATTTCAAGTATCTGCTCAATGACTAGCAAAATGGTCTGTGCTTCTCACAGGACCTACAGTATTACTTCTTTTTTCAGGCTTTTGTTCCAAGAATGTTTCTCAGTTGATGTGTGAAGGCTGCCTTCTGAATATACGGAACCATTTACAGGACTTTTTCTGTTATCAAAGTTTTTTTTTGGAAAGACAGTAGTCTGCTTGTGTGCTTGCATATTTACAGGGCAGTCCTACATAGTGTTTTTTTGGACTCCATACAAATGAGGTATTTTGTTCTCTGAAATTAGTAGTTCTAGAAATTCACCAAAAAAGAGTTTGTGGAGAGAACTTTTGAAAGCAGCGAGCATTGTATTGTGGCACACAGTTTTGTGAACTTCTGTGCATGAAGTCTTACAACCAAGTCTGGAAGAGATGATGATTTCCATTTAGTGTAGTTTGTTTTGTGATGAAAGATGCAAAAGCTTTATTTCAAGTGAGCTGTAAAAACATGTGCTAAGGATATTAGGAAGTCTTAGATTGTGAATAATGATCTTAAGTTTTTGACTTTAGTTTTGCGAAGGAATTTTCTAGGTTAGTTTTGTGTCATGTTCAGTGCAATACAATGAAAAAATGTAGCTTTATTGTAGACTTTTTTCAAAAGAAAAAACAAATTCAGAGTTCTGTCACCCCTTGAAACTACAGCATAAAGTGGTTCTGTTGCACGAGACGAGAGAGCCCATGGTTCTTCTTTTGGGTATCTTAATAAGACAGAGATGTGAACCAAACTGGAAGGAAGCCAGGCACTCTGTTATTAACACAGTACACAGTCTGATACAGAGTAGTGAATTCTCATTGTGGCTCTACAAAGCGTTAATGAAGTTCTAATTTAAAAAGCAAACAGAAAACCTCTACATTGCACCATGGGGACCCAACACATTTTATCACATTGTATTGTGACTAATATTAATATTGTTAATTAACAAGCTTTCTTGAGATGTAGGATTATTATGGCAACGGGGTTGTTTGTTTTTTTTTTTTTTCCTAAGGCTGCCTAATGTTTCTAGTATCTCCAAAGAGGAGCAGTGAAATGGAATTACCTAAATTACCTACTTGTTCAGAAGATCAAAAAATGAAATATTTTTGCTAAGTGAAAAATAATTACAGTATCTCAATTTAAACCATTTTTTCCCTTTAAAATTGAGATGCAGAAACTGCCATGCTGAAGGATAACTGGATCATTTTAAGAGTGGTCAATATTTATCTTCAGAGGAAAATGAAGCTTAACAGAAGTAAGGCCAGTTTACTTCTCACTGAGAGTTTCTGCACAGGATTTTAATGGATTTAATTAACGCACTTCGAATTCATACCATTCATTAATTTGGCTTAACTTTCTCTCATAACCCCACATAGACAGGATCTAAGTGACTATGTATTCCTTTCCTTATATAAATCTGTTGTCAGTATTGACTGTATCTAGGTAATTTTCCAGTACTGTGGTTTCATGTAGGACTTAGTTATTTAAAAATGTTAAATGCAATGGCAAAATTTAGCATACAGAAAACTAGACAGTACCTTCCTTTTTTCTCCTGTGCTAGTTTGATGCTTTGATTTGTTTTGGCCTTTAGTGAGAGTAGTTACTTGTCATCTTTGAAATTTATAAAATAAATTTTTGTAAAAAGGCAAAAAAGCTTATGGTTTCATCATTATGAAGTGTGCAATACATGTAAAGTAGTTGGAATTAAGATATTATAAAAAATGTTTTTTAAGAAGTTTAGCTCATTGTAAGAACTCTTTCCTCCTCCTATTTTTAATACTGCAATAATTCTCTTCTGAAGTGGTACTACAGAGGAAGTGAAGAAGCTGTTCTTCGTTAAAATTTGTGTCAACCTAACCTGCCATCTCGTACAACAAAATGACATAGTCATCAGTTTTATAGCTGTAGGGTGTCAGTAGGGTGCTCTTTAACTGTCTGTTTCCATCCAGAAGTTTGCACTTCTCCAAGTTCAGCCTTAATTAGGTTTTCTCAGTTAGTAAAACATAAACGGGGCTTCAGCTCTCTTGGTCTCTTCCTGTGGTTCATAGAAGCTTGGTGCAGCTTGGTACAAAAGATTTTTGTTAGGGGCTACTTGGCACTGCTCAGTGGTGGGCAGGACATGTGTTCCTGTGGGCCTTTCTGCATCCTGCCTGTTGTGCCGGTACCTGACTCTTTGGTACATGTGGTTTCTCTTTACAGACTAAATAAAATTGTTTATTTTGTAATTGTAGCTAAGTGGCTCCTTAATGGATTATAACAACAACTCCATATATATTGAAACTGTGCCCCGAGGAGTTCACAATGTTAAAGAATTTTTCCTATGACTTATCAAGGTTTTGTCATCAGGTTTTGATCTATGTTTTCTTTGCCAATGCTTTTTGAAACCAACAGAAATAGTAAAAGTGTTTCGGTTATCTTTGTGCGTGAGTAAACTAATGTCCGTGTAGTTTGCAGAAAAATCATCTAGGAAGCATCTTTATTTAGGCTGAGTTCTGGTTTGTAGTTTGAACTGATCTTCCTGAATTGATCCCCTGCATTTTGTAGGTCCAGAAACAACGAATCTTTATGAAGGAATGCAGAACCTTTTCTGGTCTGTTTTTTCAAGGTTGGGTTTCCCATGTTCTTTTTGAAAGACTTAATCACTGGTCGTGTCTTACCAAAGGCCTCTCTGCTGCTTTTGCCTTTACAGGTCCAATGATGCACCAGCAGCCTCCCTCCCAGCAGTACAACCTGCCGCAGGCCGGTGGGCAGCACTACCAGGGCCAGCAGCCACCTATGGGAATGATGGGCCAAGTTAACCAAGGGAATCACATGATGGGTCAGAGACAGATTCCTCCGTACAGGCCGCCACAGCAAGGTAGGACTTCACTTCAGTGGTTTTACTTTGGGTTTTAAATAACCATCTTTAAAACTATCTTAAACCACTTCCTTGCTTACACCACGTTTTGGCCAAGTTATTGCATGTTACAGACCTTGTTTGCAGACTCTTTTGGTTATCCTTTTAAGAGTGGTTCTGGCAGCAGTGGTATCACCATGAAACGTGAAGACAAGTATTTCTTTTGAGTTCTGATTGACAAAAAGTATCTAAAAATATGCATCTTGTATGCTGATGCAGAATTATGTTTCGATACTGAAATGATAGGTACAGAAAAGGAACAGAGTACTTCCTAAATTCACTCAACTGCAAAAAAGGAACAGTGTTCCACAGTCTTGCTTATATTTTTTTTTTCTTTCTAATCTTTTTAGGAAAGGAATAATTTTATTTTTAACACTTTAGTCTGTTATACAAGTTCCTAAAATGAGATGAAAACAGAAGTTTGCTGTATCATGTGCTCAGTCTAATGAAGCCAAACAACTGTGTCTGTGTGTGTGTATATATATAGATACATTTATTTACTTTAAGTAAACTAGATTACATATGTTGTCTGAAATGCAACACTGTGGGTGGGGAGTACATTTGAGAAATATTTCACATACTAAAATCAGAAATTAGCAGGCTTTATAATAGAGAAAACAAGTTATTTACGTATTGACTGGTTGTGGTTTTTCAGGCCCACCACAGCAGTACTCAGGCCAGGAAGACTATTATGGGGACCAATACAGTCATGGTGGACAAGGTCCTCCAGAAGGCATGAACCAGCAATATTACCCTGATGGTAATCTCTCATAAATGTTAATTTTCCCATTTTCTGTACCTGCCCAATACTAATGTAGTCTTATGCCCAAAATAACGGAATGAGGCAAGAATAGTAATTGGATATCATACCTCACATGTACAAAACCTTCCAAATTCACAATTGTTACTACAGTTTAAGTTACTATGACTAGTTAATTTTACAACTTACTGGAAGTGTGTAATTTGTAATACTCCCATTTGAAACTCTGACAACAGTTTTAGTGTTTGAAAATGAAGTTCTTTAATTGGCTTATCTAAAAGCATGGAAGGTTCCTAAGCATATCTAGTATAATTGAGATGAATTAAAACAATCATAACTTTATTTTAAATAAGAGAGAGGGCGATATCCTTTTATTAAAGATTTTATTGAAGTGGAAAAACTTGGTAAAAAGATGTGGTTTTTCTGTATTCTATTTTTTAACTTAGTATTTAGTTTTCATGTAAGTCGCACAAATGTGTTATTGCTGCTATGGTACGGGCCTTTAGTTTAATTTTTACAAAGGAATATAATGGTCCTTGCCCAGAGGAGGTTGTAATTGTGAATCCTCTTTAGAATTTCCTCCAGTGCTTTTCAAGACAAGACCGGAACTTTGCATTTCATAAATCTGTCCTCCTACATCTTGGAATTTAGAGTGCTGAAGGCCATTGGATTGTGTTAAAAGTTAGAAAAGTTGCAATTAACCTTTTTTTAGACTGAGCAGGGACTGGGAGAAAAGATGCTGACTCGTGACTACTGTGATAACCGTATGTGCAACTTAATATTCTCTTACAAAGTTCAAGGAATGTGGTAGATGTTAACGTTTTAAAACACATACAAAGCTGTGTAATTGCCAAAGCAGTTACTCATTGCAAATAAAAGAATACAAGTTGTTTGAATTTTAATTTCGGTTTTCTATTAAATTCATTTTAAGATATGTCAAGCCACATATATATAAGCTTACATCTGCTGGTTTTGGAGACGTTGTTTTACAAGTTGCATTAACTTGTAATAATTAAGTTTTGATTTTCTGGAACTTTTATGTTATACCTGTGAATTTTAAATGGTTACAGGCACTTTACTGTAATAAGGGCAATTTGATGTTACCATCAACAACTGGCAGCACAGTTTGCTTCTCCAATTCCTTCTAAAGATTCGATCTTTATCATTACATCATTATTACTCTGCTATAGAACGTAAAGAGAATAAATTATAAGACTTGTTTTAATGGTTGTATATTTATATTAGATTTAGTCAATGACATGCAGTACGGTTGCAGATCTAATTACGAAGTCCACTTAGTTTTAGAACTGTTTTCTCCTTTCCTTATTTTTATTCCAGAATTTATTCCAAGTTTATATAATTTGTAAAATTTAGTTTAAAATTTTAACAAAATGTTGACTTTTTTTCTTGACCAAGTTAGCAATAAGATATATTTTAATCATCTATAGGACAGAATGTATTTGTTCTAAAAACAACAGGTGGAGTTCTTACTGCATATATTGGTTTCTTAACCAGAGATACCTGTACTCTCTGACAAGAAAGGTTTGTTTGTCCTGCTAAGGACTGGAACGTAAGAGGAAAAGTTTTCTTAAGATTTGAAGGAATTCCATTTATAGGGAAAAACTTTGGAATGTTACTTCTCTGTCAGTTAATAGCAAAATTTAATGTGGACTGTGGTTCATAACTTCATTGAGCTTTATTTGTTATATTTCACACTGCTTTTAGCATATGCTTTTGAATTGGAGATCAGCAGAACAGGTGTCAGACAAAGTATGATAATTACTTTCTTTGTTCATTCTAATTTAATTCAGGTTATTTACATGTGAAAGACCTAAATGCTTTCTTTTTTTTTTGAGTGAAAGATAAAGTACTTTCTTTCCCCCCCCCGCCTCCCAACACGGATTATGAGAAGGTTAAGACCATCCTTTGCTGTGATATTGCTAAAACTACTGCATTAAGCATTTTTTTTTCCTGTCACATGTTAATTCAATATGAAAGGAAATCATATTAATAAGTCTTTGGCTAATACAATTGAAAATTCTTTTTCATGTATATCCAGTTGACATTTTTTTTCATTTTTCTGAGAAATGAAATACTTTTAGGGTTTTCACTCAGAGGCCATTAACGTTTCTTCCTGTCTCTTGTCGAATTGATGTAGGTCATAATGATTACGGTTATCAGCAACCGTCGTATCCTGAACAAGGCTACGATAGGCCTTATGAGGATTCCTCACAACATTACTACGAAGGAGGTATCTATATACCTTCACACACATACGCACATACATTCCCTTTCCTCCTCCACCTGCAACGGGAACAAAAACTCTTGCACAACACGACTTATACCCATGCAAAGCTCTTGTAGAATACTAGTTGCTGGCTGTCTTGAAAATTGCAGGGAACTTGAAGCATTCAGAATAATTTCTTGCAAACACCTAAAATATAACCACAATTTGCCATTTCTAACAAAAGTAAAATGACTAAAACACTCTAGAGACTTTTTTTTTTACCTCAGTGGAAATTTTTATTTAAACATAAATTTGTTGGTTCAGTTGTATATCTTTTTGTGTGTGTATATATTTTGTATAATTATAGTGCCGTTAGGAAACAGCTTGCTGATCTTGTGTAGCTAGTCTGTGCTCTTGTAGCTGTCCTTAATTTTGTCTTTTTTTTGTTTTATTTTATTTAGCATAGTCATGATCTTATGACTGTGATGTTCCAGTAAATATAATGCTCGTTTGGCAGAGATGCTGAAAATGCTGCAGTTCAACTTTGCAAAATTGGCTTTAACTGCAGTTTGTTTGGCCGAAATCCTTCTGTTTGGTTTGAGTTTTATTTTGTTTTGTTCAGTTTTTGAAATCGATATTGCATTTTCATTTTGTTCATGTGTTGTTGGCTGTGCATCTTAGAAGGAAAACAAAAGTAATAGAGTAGGTATCTTTACAAGTTTTTTGCTTTCTTGCAATCGTCTTACAGGAAACTCGCAGTATGGTCAGCAGCAAGATGCGTATCAAGGACCGCCCCAACAGCAGGGTTATCCTCCACAACAGCAGCAATACCCAGGCCAACAAGGCTATCCAGGACAACAGCAGGGTTATGGTAAGAACTTGAAGGCACAGACAGCAGTCACAGAAAAGACCAGGAGAGATCATCATGTGTTGTTCTGTCCCTGTTTCGCTGGATTGAAAAGCCAGGCTTGTGCAAAAAAAAGTTGTATGTCCCCAGTTGCACTGAGCCAAAACGAGAAAGTGTAGAAAACGGCATCTTTTGGGAGGTAGATCCAATGTTGGCAGTCTAGGACAATGTGGTAGCATAAAAAAATGAGGGTGGCTAGAAAATACCACAATGGGTGTCTGTAATTCAGAAGCAGAAAGACTCAGCTCTTTCCTGTTCTCTGTAGGTGAACACCAAGTCAGGAGGGCAGAAGGATGTCAGAACAAAATCTTTAAAATTAGTTTAAAATTTCATCCAACATGTGCAAATAATTATTTTGAAATGATTGTACTGATAAGTAAGGAAATTTAATCATTTCCGATGCAACTTCCAGGAGAGTTTGTCTTATAACTTTGCAGTAGTAGTACAAACCTTCTGGTGTATAGCAGAAATGAGAAATCCTCTGCCACAAGTGCGATAATGTAGTCCTTGGGTTTAGGAAAATCTCCCAGACAGGAAACTTAAAAGTAGTAGTGTTTGATTTTTGTGCATTACTTCTGAAAACTTGAGGTCAGAAGAGCATACTGAAAATACTGCTCTTGTAAGTTTTACTTACTTGCATATTGTAAAGCTCTGTGTGTTTATCTCAGAAGAAGGGATATCTGAAATCTAATTCCATATATTTTAACGTTTAGCTTTGTTGCAGGTTTAACTTTGAGTGGTGTAGATATGTGAGGAAGTGCATGGATGACTTGTTTGCCTTCTATGTAGATAAATGCCAGATTTGCATTAAATCTGGGTACATTGAGACAGAGTTAAAATTTAAGAGGATCCAGTGAGATGTAGCAAGTTTTCTCCTTCCGGAGGTTATAGATTAATTAATAGTTCAGAAATAATACTAATGTTATTGCATTCTGCTAAACGTAACATAGGAACATAGAATGAAGATCTGAGTCAAGTCCATCTAGCTTACTATTCTAAATTTTGTAAGAAATGAAGTCTTGACTTATTCTGAAAGTTTAGGTCAAGAAGTACTAGAAGAAAAAGATAAAAAAATGTGCTCGAGCAACATAGCCTCTATAATTTGTAAACCCAAGTGGTATACTTCTCATTTTCAATTTTTTTAGCAGAAATAGATACTGAAGTTCCGTTTTTATTTTATAAAATCTATCACTGAATATTTATAGAGTCCAGCTATAAAGAATGACCATGAATAAATAAGACCAAGGTTCATTTGTCAGATGAACACAGCACTTTTTAGGATGTAGTATCCTTGCTTGAGTTAATGTTTAATTACTTTCTAATTTGCAAAAGTAAGTCAGCACCCCGGTCATTATTATCAATCTTTAAGGTTTTGTTCCACCGTAGAAAGCTGAAACTGCATCGTTCAAGGGGATTTGAGGCCCGAGGAGAATGGCAATAGCCTGTGGAGCTTTTATTTTCAAGGTCATCTTTTCTGACTCTCTTAGAGATCCAGAATTACTGTAAGGGTTACCAGCTGAGGTGACCTTAATGTCCAGTGGCTGTACCTAAAACTAGCCTGCCCTAGCACTGAACATTGTTGCTAAAACACATTAGCTGGTTCTGATGGGAGGGTGGGAGAAGTGTTCATTTGTTTAAAGGAAAACACTTTTGAAGAGTTCCAAGTCTTTCCTGACTATCAAGATTAAAAGCATGGTGTTGAAAAAGTTAACTTAAATCCACTGCAAAAGACCTATATGGAGTGTCACTGAAATACACAGTACACCATCTCTCCCAGTGTAGGAGAGGATGAGGTTAATTTTGTTTGGAACACAGCTGCACTGCCTGATGGTAGCAAAGTTTTCGATGATAGACAGGCTGAGTCCCTCTGAATAGTAACAGAAAGAGTTTGTATGACAAAAGAACTCTTCCTTTTACAGCCAAAAAAAGTCTGGAGCCAAAGTGTTGAGGCTTTTTTTGGTTTTGTTTTTTTTCCCCCTATCCTTTTCCTAGAAAGTTAAAGTGAGCAGAGGAGTATGGAATAGAGGATGCTTTTTTCCTTTCCACAATAGCATTTAGTGGTTGTCACATCTGAGATTTTATGCCTGTAACTTGCTTGCCTGACATCCCATTTATGATTGCCTGCTGTGGTGTGAGAAGTGACTTTCTGGCAGGAGTCTCTTCAGAAGGTCCAAATACAAGGCGGCTCATCATCTGTTTTCCTCGTGTTACAAAGCTCTGGAACTGGAGCAGTGTAGAGCAGGAGAAGAGTGTGCCTCCCTAAATCCTGGAAAGTGCTCATGCTTTATGATTTGTCATTTCTTGCTTTTTTCTTCCCTGTGTTATGACCTGATCTGTGGAACTACATCAATTGATGAAGATATAAATAAATTGATGAATATATAAATAAAGGTAAATCTTTCTGTGATTGGAGCACAGGCTCCATCAGCCAAGGTGCTTTCCAGGTTGAGGAGGACTTGGTATGTTCTTAGGTAGGACAATACCTAACTGCACAGTAGTGATTATACTTTTTAGCCCTGCTCAGTGGTAAAATTGAATGCTTATACTGTTTTCTTCTTTCTAACACGTTAAGCAATGTTGGTTTTTTGTTTGTTTGTTTTCATTTTAATGATCTCTAGGCCCCTCCCAGAGTGGTCCAGGACCTCAGTATCCCAATTATCCCCAAGGACAAGGCCAGCAGTATGGAGGGTACAGACCTGCACAGCCTGGGCCACCACAGCCACCACAGCAGAGGCCTTACGGATATGACCAGGTATTCTTTCATTTCATGAGGAAGTTGTGATTCTTACACATTGATTTGATAATCTCAGTTTCTCCTGTACTTTTCAACTAATGAATTTAAGGGCATGGTCTTGTGGGTGCGTGTGTACAATTTCATTTCCGGGTGAGTTATCTGGCATCATTTATCTGGAGGTGTGATTAGTCATTCTCTTCTGAGTTTGTAAAGTTTTGATGCAATTTGGCAAAATGAGGCCCTCCAGGCCTCCAGACCTTTGAAATTAAGGTGATCTGTTTCGTAGCGTCATGATGAATGACTTGTGTGAAAGTTGAGGTTCCTAAATCTCATGATGGATCATTCTTCATTGCTGCTTTGCAATAAAAAAGTTGAATTTTCCACACGTACAAATGCAGTAGTCATCCTCTCCAGTTGCAGAAGCACTCAGGTGTGCAACTGAGGTCCTTCTACTCTAGGGCTGTGTGGGGACACATGAAGCCTATTCTTGCACAGATTTTCTCTGAGCAGTATAGAGGAGCACTGAACATGGGAAAGAAGTGAGCTGAAAATAGACTGCTTCTTTACTATCCCTGCTAAGATAAGTTTTTAAAACAAAAGCAAAACCTACCAAAACTCTAATCTGGAGTTGTAGTGGAAGACTTCTGTAAAAAACCCCGTCTTCTAAGTAAAGGATGAAGCAGAGGTTTTACTCTTGCAGTAGGAGCTAAAAAATCTAATCTTGTAAAAATCTAATCTTGGCAACATGAATCTTTCAGAGCTGTCATTAAAACGTATGCTGTTTCTTTCCTTGTCATAAATAAAATGGAGATTAACTAAATATAACTTATGGTCAGGCTGAGGTTCTAGTGTTCAAATAAGCTCCTGATATGTCTGTAGAAGATCAGTTGAGCTTCCAAGAAGAACTTTCTCTTGGAAGTGAGAATAGCCACAATTGCCCACTTTTTAAAGGAGAAGAGTTGGCTTACTTTCTACAGAAATTAGAAAAGACAAGGAAGAAGGAACAAACTCTTAGTGTGGTAGCTTAGAGATGCAATTACTTCTAATTATTAAACAGAGAAACAAAATGCTTATACACTAAACTCATAGCTTCATCCTGCATATAGTAAGCTACAACAAAATGCTTTACCTGTAGCAAATGTAGGGGCAAGGTCTCAGTTTGCTGAGTTCCTTCCAGCTTTGCAGTAGAAGTGGATAACTCTCTCTGTCAATAGGTTCTACTTCTCCAGTTTGTGCAGTGTAAGTTCCACTGGGAAACTCATTATACAAGACCTCTCTTTCATACTAGCCACTCCCATAGGAATTGCTCTGCTTAAATTCTCATCTGGCAGCTGTTCTTAAACTCTTCTTCCTGACTGATTGTCATATTACAATGGAGAAAACCCCCTGACATTGCAGCTTAAAACTGGAATTTAAAATGCTGCCTTATCCTGATGGTACTTGGAGTGTTGGCAAAACAGCAGTGTGGAGAATATTCACCTTCTAGGACTGCTTGTTTCTGCAAGCCTTGAACCCTATGGTGAAGAATCATGGTAAGCATGTAACATTGATGCTTTCACCTCTGCCCTCCTCTGCAGTACGTGACATTCTGTCAAAAGAAACAGAGAATATCAATAAGGCTAATAATGCTATGTATGGGATCTATGGAATAATTGATTCCCATAGGACTTGTTCTTTATGTTCACCAGTGTGTGCCTTGGGTTTTGAGATACATCTATGAGTCTGTTCTGTGATGCTTGATATATGAATATTTTTAGGTATCCAGAAGCAGGTTAGTTTCCTAAATTACTTTGAATTTAGGTGACCTTGTCTTTTTGAAATAACTTAAGAGTTTAGGTGGGAAGTAATTCTGATCTTTTATGTTTGATGGCGTTCTGCAAATTTCACAGCAGTCTCTTGAATTTAAAGGTATGCTCTTTTTTGATCAGATGAAGTTTCTGGCTCTAAATCCGTATCATTGGTCTTACTTTTACATTAAGACACAAAGGATTTTTAGTGAGAAGCAACTGTAACACTTGCATTGGTTTATCATTTGTTTTTAACATCATAGTTTATTTGGATGGTCGTCTTATTTCAGCTTTTAAAACAAGACAGTATGACTTGTGGTCTAATTATGTATTCTGAATTTTTTTTAGGGTCAATATGGAAATTACCAACAGTGAAAAAGTACTCACATTCCAGTAGGCAATATCTCTTAGCAGCCATATTTTCTCCTCAGCACTGTGGACATCTTCCTGAGATGAGAACCTCCCATTCCATCTAGCTTTCTTGGAAAAATTTTGTGGCTGTTCTACGACATACAGTCTTTATGGGTTAATTGTTAAAGGCTGTAGATTCTCAGAAACTGATTTCACATCTCTACTCTAGATGGCAATATTGGACAGAAAATACGTGACATAACAATTTGCAGTGAGTTGAGAACTGTATGTCAAATAGACTGTTACAGACTGAAGGGTGCAAACAGCTTTGTATGTTTATGAAGGTTATGGGAATTTAATATTTTTTCCACAGATTTTTTTTTTTGTAAGGGGAAAGGGGAAATGCACACTTTTTACAGCAGCAATATTTTGTATATTATGTTTTTCATGTGGTGAATATGTAAGACAGTACACTAATCGCTGGGCAGGATAAGAAATCTACTGTTGAAAATAGGTGGGGGCATAAGTGCTTGATTGTATAAGTCTTGAAACGGTGTACAATAAAAAGATAACAGTGAAAAAAGATGGAGAGCATCACACATCACTGATAGGTTCATGTACAAAGAATGAGAATCCCAGTTATCTAAATGGGAACATAATTAAGGATGGTATACCATAGTCTTGTGCGAAGATTAATTTTTTAAGCTTTCCAATTTTTCTGAGCGAAGCAGTTTTGTAAAAATTGTTTCTAGCATAGTTTGACAATTTTCTGCAGCATTTTTTTGGTAACGAGATAAACGTTTGGGTTTTATTTCTCAAGTGTTTTGTCACAGCTTTGCACAAGCAAGCTGTAATCCCTTTTAATAATTGCAATAACAAAGAAAATGACAAGTGTTAATTTTACTTGGCTTGGATATGCAAAGAACTTGAAAAAGAATATGGAGGACAGGACTGTGTTGTAAAAGTGTATTTTAACCTTTAGTTTAATAATTTGTATGTATCCAAATAGCCTTAGAAGACTTTGTAAAACCTATCTAAACTTTCCTAACTGGGAGTTAATACCTTTAGAAAGGGGGAATTTTTTGCGTGTGTCCATTTTTCTTATTAGTTAACATTGAGACCAAGGGATGATTTGTAACATCAAGTAATAAAACCTGTTGCTGAGGTAAATGCCAAATTTTATTTTGAACTGCATTAATGCTAGTAGTGTTGCATGTCAGATAGAGGCAGCACCTTGGTCAATAGCATAGTACACAAAAAATTGGTTTTGAGACTGTCCTGCAACTGTTTATCAGATAAGTAAATGGATATTCTGTTGTGCAGAAATCTATGCATTCAAGAATTCCTGGCAGTTTTTTATAAAGGACAAAACTTAAAATTAGCCCAGAAGTAATTTTTGGGTTGAGTTTTATTCTGTTTGTTTTTTTTTTTTCAGTTGGCTATCATGTTTGGGGGGAGAAGAAAAAAAACTGGTGTTATACATGGAAGACAAGGTTTTCAATTTGTTCATTTTTAAAGGGAAAATAATTTTATTAAAGTTGACAGAAAATACACATCTAGATTTGAACAGATACGACATGAGGAACATTATTACGAATGAAATGCTTGTAGGTTCTGTGCCAATTTTCCACCACTGTGTACTTCATTGCTATTTAAAACTGTACTCCATCAATTCTAACAGAAGAATAAATTATTTGTGATTTTAATTTTCTCATTTGTTTATTTAAATTAGATCCCCATCACTCCGATGTCTCATCTGGAGACTCTGCTGCGGGTTTCTGTTTTATAGAAGTTTGGCCAGAATAACCAAACTGTATTCGCTTTTTAGGACTTTATCAAAATTCTCTTGCCATAGCCAAGTTAATTAGAATTACCTGTTCAGTAATCAGCATGTTGTGTAGGTTGTTTGTTACGAAATTCTTCCTCTGAAAATAAAGGTCCATGAGGCTATAATCAAGATGACTGAATTAGATAAATGAGTTGAGGAGGCAAAAATGTGTTGAACCCAACCTGGTGTAGATACGTTATCTCATTTGAAATAAGCTCAACTGACATTAAGAAATAATTTGTCTTGCCAGCCCATCTTCTGTTGTCTTATTCTCCTTTTTAATGGAAACTAAAATTGCAATTTTAATAAGCAGAATTTCCTCCAGGGTTTCCCTCCTAGAGACTACTGCATTTGCAAGGTTTAATTGTTTTATAACGGTCCTGTTTCGTAAAACTTTTTAATTGGTGATGACAAAAATTACCTTATTCCTCTGATACTATGCCAGAAGAACAACTTGAGAGGAGGATAGCTCCATGTGAAAGTATTTCTGCTCAAATTATGTGCTAAAAAAGAAGCAGTTTTCCCTGAAAAAGCAGGAAAGCATTACGGGACCAGATGAAATAGCAAGATACAAGGTTCATTTTAGCAAGCGTATTTATTAAATAAAATCCAATCAATAGGAAACTAGTAAAAGGGTTACATTTGGCATTTTGCATGTAGAGTGTAGAAAATAAGACCTGAGAAGGGACACAGCAAATGAAATGTGCAAACAGAAATTATACAAATATTCAAAGACTAAAGTGGAGGAGTTAATGAATACAGTGTTTCTAGTGATCGTAGCGCTGTGATTTTTGGCATTATATTTTGCTTTTCCTTTGCAGATGGTTTTATTTCCTTTTGTGCTCTGTGAATGACTCACAGAAGGAAGAAGCTGGCTCTCTGTTTAAAATTGATTTGACTTCACAGTGTTGTAACAGAAGTAAGCAAGCCTGCCGCTTTATAGTGCAGGATAAATGTATCTTCTTGTGAGGAGTCCTCCTTTCGTATCTAAAATTCTTCTGTTTCAAGTAATTGATTTTTATTTTTTTTTTTGAAAATATGCCTGATTAAAGAGGAACAAGGACTTCAGTGTAAAAATGTCATTGTACTTCTACTATTCTCACTACAGAGGATGCTAAAACACTTTAATGTGACTTAATAGTCTGGGGTTTTATATATTAGATTCCAAAAAGGAGAAAATACTTAAATTTACAAAATGGAGATAAATTGTTACATCACCAAGTTCAGATGGAATTGATCCAGAAGCCCTGAAGAAGTTTAGAAGCAAAGTAGCTGATTTTACTACATGGGTAACAGTTGCTGTGTCATAAAATAAAAGCGTAGGGAAGAAACCCTATGAAATGAACTCAAAAAACCCTGAAGTGAATAGATAACTGGATCAAGTAGTAAGTCATTCTTTTCTAAATGTTTCTATTAATATATTAATTAATACATCAATAGTATATTAAAAGAAACATTTAACAAAACAAAAGACTGAAAGCTGCCCCTTAATCTGCTAGAATTATTGTAAAAGATGACACACAATCTGATGGAATTAATCTTTGTTTGTATGTTGACGAAGTCTGAAGTTATCTCAGAAGCTGCTACCATAAAATAAAGCATGCAGTAAGGTGGACCACCTTACTGCATGCTTTATTTTATTTGTTTTTTATATAGATAACACGGAGGAGGAATAGAAGTAAATGCTTAATATAGAAAATAATATAGAGATTAGTAACAAATTATGTGAGAGCTCTGTTAGGACCACTGATTAACACCAAATCAATTGGAGAAAAGAACATGAAAAGTTCTGGTATCAAAATGAGGTGGAAATGGTGCTGCTTAGATTATGCATGCCTGTCCTGGTTTGAGAGCACCAGGATAAAAGTATTCTAGGGCTGCTTGCAAATGCAATGGCTCATAACAAAAGTTAAGAAAAATCTGATGTTTACAAATATAACAAAGTAGATACTGGGTGGGATAATACCAGTTTACTCATATGCAGTTAATCAACTGTCAGGAGAAATTCAGTGTCTGGTGCCATAAACTTCTGCTCAGTGGGCATCTGAAGTCACAGCACCACCAAAATGTTCATAAAGCGATCATATGGAATGCTTAACGACATACGGTAACGCTGATCAGAGTTTTATCAACAGTCTGAATTGCTGTGTTCATCCTGGTCTTGCCCATATCAAAAAGGGACAGCTCAGGTAGAAGGTAAGTGGGTAATGAGTGCTTGAGAACAAATGAAGGGTGATTGGGATTCTTTATTTCAGAAGCTGGTATGTATAAACCAGCGATACATAATAAGAGCGTTATTTTTGCAAGGAGACAGACAACATGATGAAAATTAAAGGCAACAGCTTTAATACTAGTAAGAGGCTGGATGCTTTCACTCAATTCTCCTAAGCGTCCAGTGGAGTCTGATTTTCCTATACCTGAGATCTGATCGTTTTACAACAGGAGGTTTTTTTAGGATTTTTTTTTTTTAATAGATAACGTGTCCTAACTTTCCCTTACTATTCTTCACTTGATCTTTAGGAAATTAAGGTAGTTCATCGTGTCTGTAACTGCGTATTTACAGCTCAGCTTTCTGGTTGGGGGCAGAGCTGTGGGGCTAGAAAGGAAGCTGGGGTGGATCAGCCAGAGCTCTGACTGAACTCTATTCAGACAGTGGCATTATATTCACTTACTTTGACGCTTTTTAAACAAGTGGCATTGCTGAATTACTGTATAAATGCTTTTGCATTTTGGTTCATAATTTTCATTTAATCTAAAAGTTAATTTTACACAGCATAAATTCTAATTGCCTACTGCCGTTGCTGTTGCCAGAAGTGGGTTGGCATCTTGATGCAAGTCCATTCCAGGTACTTTTGTAGAAAAATGCCATTTGCTAGGACAGGCTTGGTAGAAATACACATTTTGTTTTTATGAAATCAAGCTACATCAATTATACCTCCTGACTGTCTATTAGAAAACTTCAAGAGTTTTTAATCTCCAGTATTAAGCTGCCTTCTTTACATTTTTCCAGTAATAGCTTTTCTTGTCCCAGAGCCTTTAGACTTCTTTCCACAGGGCTACAGTATAAACAAGTGCCACAGTTCTTGCCTCAGTTCTTAGAGTTTCTATCTAAATAATGGTTATGGCCTTACTTGTTAAGATAGTTTTTAAGGTACTTTCTTGCCAAGTTTATATGGTGTCATTCTCAAAGGTTAGTGATCTGTATCTCTCTGTATCTCTCTCTCTTTTTGGTGATTTCTTTTTTTTTTTTTTAACCCCAGCAATGATACAGATCATTTCAGAGCTACCTCTTTTTCAAATAAAAAGTACTCAAATAGCACCTGGACAACTACATCTATCTGTTTGTTCTCAAGGCTGTTTAGATAAAATATTTGCCTTGTATCCTGAAATATCTTTAGAAACTTACTGTTAGGGGAAAAGGATTCTGCTTATATGCACCAGAGTTTTTAATTTCTTACTCCCAGAGAGCCTGCCCATCTGAATACAACAAGATATTTGCTACCTTGGTGCTGGTTTCAGATATATCACCTGCTTCAGCATCTGTATAGGCTCAGGACAGAACAAAGTAAAACTGAGGCAGCTGTGAAGGTTGCTGTTGTATCCTCCCAAATTTTTGGCTGATGGCAAGCGGATGATTTTAGGATCATAAAGAGATGCTTGGTGGGTACTAGGGTATCATCTGTAATGGCTTCAAGTATCTCGCGTGCGTGCTGGCGTGGCTAATTGAGCCTGGTGTTCGTTGGTGCTTGTTAT